AGGGGGCGCGCGCGCGCGAGCGAGCGAGGAAGCGAGCGGCCGGGCGCGCGCGCCTGAGAGCGTGTGGAGGAGCGACTGGCTGTTTGAGAGTATGTATCGGGGGAGGGGGCGGCCGCGGGGACGGCCGGCTCCGCCCCCTGTGCGCATGCTCCAGTTTCCCGGCGCGATATAAAGCCGCCTAACCCGCCCCCGGCCGACCAAGTGCTGGCGAGCTGCGACGTGAGTAGCGGGCCGCGTGGGTGCTGGAGAGAGCGGACGAGCGGCAGGCAGAGGACGCCACCCGGGGCCCTGAGCGCCGCAGAACTGCAGCCGCGCCGCCGCGTCACGCACACGTTCGGCACCGGGGCCGCGCATAACGGTTAGTTGGGTAACGGCCGCCGGCGCTTAGCGCGGACCCCGCGGTGCCCTGGCCGCCTTGGGGGATCGGAGGCAGCCTCGGGGGAGCGGAGACCTTGGCCTTCGGGAGGAGGGAGGCGGCCCGGTTGGCATCGTGGCCTCGAGCAGCCGCGTGGCCCGGGAGCGCGGCGGCGTTGGTGAAGGAGACCTTGAGGCTCGGGACAGCGCCTCTCCCAGCAGAGCTGCGGCCCCGTGGTCAGGCGACTGCCACCGGCCTGCCTGGCCGAGAAGTTGGGTCGTGGTGCGGGTGACCTTGGGGACTTGCTTCCCCGCTGGTCTTCAGTAGGCTCCTCAGGAGATGCTTTTGATCTGGAAAAGGGAAGACGTGGGGCTGATTCACGTGGTGCCTCCAGACTCTCCTAGCCGCGTTCTGCTCCGAGGGAAGGGACTCAGGCGGGAGTTATTTTGGACTCGTGGCATGCCCGTACCAACGTCCTCGGCCAGCCAATCCTTGTCCCAAGACCTGGTGACTTGCAATAGTTTGGGAATCTGCAGTTCCCGCAGCCAGGGCGTGACTGCACGGTTCCAGTGGACTTTGCCGTGGGGACTGTGCAGCTGGCAGACTCCCGGGACTGGTGCTGACGGGGGCTCTTTGTCATTCAACCTGTGGCTGCAGAATGTCAGCCGCAGCGCCCTCGTGCTCGTGGTCTTTAAGGCGGCCTTGTTGAGAGCAATCTGAAGGATAGCGTTACACTTGGTCAGATGCACGCTTTTCGTTCCAAGTACATCCCTTTTTTTCCACGTGCGTTTTAACGTTTCATTTTTTTGTCAAGTCATTGGTGCAACAGGCAATTTTGTAATTAGTTTGTAATTAATCTTAACCAAGAAACAGACCTCTTACTACTTTAGCCGAGTTTCTAGTGTCTGCTTATAAACTAGGCATCTAGTGATAACAGTAAAATGTTCACAAGCTACTTTATCATAACTAGTTTTGAATTTTTTTCAAATATTCTGGTTTCGAAATAAAATATGTACACGTCAGTACGCTGATAAAACAAACGTAGGATTAGTAACTAGTGGAA